ATATACATAGAAAATACCCAGATCGGCACAAACAAACATACTAATGATTACTAATATTTGCACTATGCGAGGAATGGAACCCGCGACCATCGGAAGTAAAGCTGTGCGCTAAACCACTTTACTTCCGATGGTTTCCGATGGACCACCAAGGCCGCCACGTGCACAATCTGAAATTATATACTTTTGAGGAACACGAAAGTAATTGAAAGTTTCCTTTTTTGTATTATCGGTTTTTATTATGTTGCCACGTATATTCTAAATGTGTTCCATGCTATTCAGTATTCAATATACACGAGTAGATACCGAATAAACCTCTGGATAACGTAACATAATGTAAATACTTGGGACGAGATTCGAATAAATATACCAATCCGCACTTACCACTGTAGTGGACTATAATCCCAACGTCTTGAACCCTTATGGGTACGACACTTATACAAGTATATTATTTACATTTACTATATCTATATTACGAACTGTAAGTAAACACGCATCTTTACCCCCACAGTTATTTTCTACTCCCGTGAGAATTTCCAAAATTCCTCGCTCAGCGGTTGCTTGCGTATATACTATCTACTAAATTTCAACTATTTATGCCTCATATTACTTACGTAAGGTCCGTGATTAGTGTGTGGTTATTCCATATAATATTATGTAATTTAGGATCTTCATTTTCTAATGCGTAGATATTTTGATTGTAACTTATACCTATGTGTATATCTTGAGTGAAATAGCGTTTGATTAGCATCTGGAGAACGAGATCAAATTCAAAGTCACCTGCTAAAATATTTAAGTATATAAACTCTCTACCATTAAATAGGGCGAGCTCAAAATTCTTGATATAAGACAATGTGGTTGGCGCAAGAATGTATTTCATGGCAATATAAGGATAAAACAAGAAAATGCAAGATTTTAAGTTCCTATGTAAACCCTTCAGATTTTACTACTCCTTTAGATATTGATTAAAACGTTTCCATTATAAATTCATTTCACTTAAGGACCAATATGTTTTATGTTCAATCATTAATTGCGATATATTTTTTTAGTTTTATAATCTGTAAACTTAGATCGCTATCTATATCAGGTAGAACCCAGATCTGGGTAAAAAATAGTGTGCTTATTATCTATATATTTCTGACTCTACCACATTTCTGATTAGTAATGAAAGAAGTGATAACAAACTAAATCAATCCGAGAAACGGCGGACGGATTGCTCCCTACCACACTGAATTGTAATATAAACAGCGTAATGTTGGCATGTCTCTGATTTAACTCATCTGAGTTCTGTTATCTTAGATGAGTTAAATCGATATAATAATAATATCCCTAAATTAACACAGCACCATCTATTCCCATGGTAAGCAGAGCTTATGTAATGGGTACTAGATAACTGATATAAGTATTTAGGCACATTTTTTTTCTAAATACATCTATTTAAATAATAAAAATATAAATAAAATTGGAGTGTCTGTTTGCAATATTGAAATAACCGTTTTTTACTACATGCATATGATATAAATATGGTACATACACCAAAATAACATATTTTACAATTTTTGTCTGTTCTGGCTAATCCCTGAAATGGCCGGACCGCTTTTGACGAGACTTTTTTTGGCAGGTAGCTGATATAATAAGGAGTAACTTAGGCTTTATTTTAGAAAAAATCTTTTTTAAATTCCACGCGGACGAAGTCGCGGGAATAGCTAACATGATATAACACAGAAAACACTCAGAGAAACAATCATACTGTTGAATACAAATGTTTAAGTAACATACGACCATTGAAAGTAAAGCGGTGTGCTAAATCGTTAGACAATCAGTTAATCGGGCGGAGAGCGAAGCGCGGACCCATATTAGAGATCAGATTTGCACTCTTTGTAACGATACTTGACCGATCCAGACAAAATTTCAACCGAATGTTGACCTTCGGGCCTACATCGTTCAGCACTCAAAAAATTCCAATCGGTCATGTCCTTGAGGAATGGTCGTTGATAAAGGTTGCCATAGTCTTTGAATAAAATCACGCGCTACTGCAATTATTTAATTTTAAAGGTCAAGTTTTTAATAATAAACACGCTCCGGTCAACATGTGACCTGGCGTGTAAACAACACACCGCTAACAAACCTACTATAATTCTACAAACAGAAAGACAACAATGCATTTATAGCTACTGTATAATAGAAATAGGTAAGATGATTCAAATTACATCTAATAGCTCTGAGGATTCTGTATAATCAAAGTGTCTGAAGTTGCGTGGAGTGTTGAGTTAGTAAGGGATTCATCGCCCACTAATACTCTTGCAACTTGGTCCGACTCTGATTATCATACCTCTGTAAGTAACTTGGTATATTAGGATTTCAATTTAAAACTAACGACCAGAACCGGATTCGCTCGGGTATTAAACAAAATTAAAAAAAATATATATACTAGCTGACACGTGCGACTACGTCTGCCTCACACTTATCATTATTTATCGCCCAATTTACATAATATCTTTTTAAATTATAACCTATGTATATTATATCTGATGTATAAGCTATGTTACTGTAAAGTTTCATCAAAATCCGTTCAGTATTTTTTGCGTGGAAGAGCAACAACCATCTATCTATACTCACAAGCATTCGTATTTATAATATTAGTAAAATTTTAGCACACATATAAACCCTTTGATGTTAATGTTCGCCATAAAACTGTAGTATATCACTTTGTAAATCTCTACTTTCAATAATTTCCGTAGCGTCCGCAATACAAGATTTTTTTTATAGGTTGAGTTACATTATGTAACTTTTCATACGAATCAGTAATATTTTTGCCTATGTTCATCAGTGATTAATAATAAAAAAAATATAATTAAGGATTAAATCAGGAATCAAAAAGTTTAACAACTTTTAAGAAATCTAATTAAAGTAAAAGTTTTGGAGTCTATTTAATGCAAACAAACAGACAATAAAATCTTTCGTATTTATAATATTAGTAAAGATGTTTGGTTACTATTGTTTTAAATAATAACAAATATATTTTGCATTAAAACTTGATATTTATAATGCAAACATATTGTTAAATAACTTACCTAATGTAATAATACAAAGAGGAAAAAAATGTATATTCTGTAAACGTAAAAAAAACTCTAAAAAGATTTTTAAAAACACTTAAAAAAGTGTTTTTAAAAATCGCACACCTATAGAATTATATTAGCAGAGAGTAAAATGGTTTATAAAAAACCACTTCGATAATTTAATCCGTGTGAATCCGGGGCAGATTACTAGTAGTGTTTATGTAGTTAATCAAAAAATCTCGAGTAGTAATGTCTAAAGCGAGAATTGTATGCTATACTATGAAGATGTTCAGTTATAGTAGCTATCAGCTTATAAGTAATTACTATACAATATTTAACTTGCTGATTAATTTCATAAGCATCCAATAGCATGATATCACCAGCTCGAACTATTACTTAAATAATGTGCTATTACTTCGTTGTCGATTCGCTTTCCTTCTATATTTACTCTGTCCCCTTACCGGCGTAGCGAAATAACCTAAAACTTCTTAAAGAATACGTTAACAAATACATATATATATTTTTTAAATAGACTGTTAATTCAAGACATTAACGCTTTCAAACGAACTCTTAATACTATATATTTATCCAAACAAAAAATACACTAATAAGAACTATTTCTAGTGGTAGAATAACACACACATATAACTAGCAAAACCATAGTTTTTTTTTTAAGTTAAAAAATTACATATATATGTTTCACATTTGACGCGGTTATTATTTATAAATTACAATTAGAAAAAATCACGCGATATTATTACATACGACGACGTTAAAAAATAAATAAAACGTGGTACTACCACGTTCTTACCCGTAATTTTTCTCAAACATGTCTAATGTTATTCAAATTCAAATTCAAATTCAAAAATCATTTATTCATGTAGGACATTTTAGCCGCTTATGAACGTCAAATTTTTACATTATAATTTTATTTTTTTCCCTACCGTCCAGTTCGGTATATAGATCCAATTGAGAAGAACTGGCAAGAAACTCAATTGAATTACTTTTTTTTTTAAAGCCAGTTTATTTACAATGTATATTTATATAGGTGTCTATGTCTAACATTAAATGAAAATTCAGTGCATGAACAACTATTGCCATGCACACTCGTCATTCAAGTAATCGTTTAGTGAGTAATAGGCTTTGCTCAGTAAATATGATTTAACAGATGTTTTGAATTTATTTAAGAGTAATTCCAACATATCCTTTGGTATCTTATTGTAAATTTTTATACCTATTCCCATAAAAGACCTATTAACTTTTTCTAAACGATACTTGGGGACAGCAAGTTTGTCTTTAAATCTTGTATTAATATTATGAATATTGCTGTTTTTTGGAAATAAGTCAAGATTTTTATGAACATATAGGATATTTGAATATATAAATTGAGAAGCAACGGTTAGTATATTGTACTAGGCGAGCATAGTTTTGAAAGAGATAAACACATATGACACTATTGAAACCGGGCACTATCTGCTGGTGTGATAACTTTTTTGTATCTAACCCGTATATGACTAACGTTGCGGTCGTGTAGATTGAATTTTAAATATTACAAAATAATATTGACTTTCTTATAAGAAAATTACTAATGGCAGAAAGGTGTACTCTAATTCGCGGGTTATACTTATTGCATTTAATATGATCAATAAACTATTCCACTTTTACTATTGAGTAAATATTAAGTTAATAGAAATTACCGGTAGTATGTATTTATCTAGTCACTGAAGGATATGCATGCATTTAGTCACTGCTAGTACATAATATATGAAGGAAAATATATATAATTCGTAAACTATATATTTTGCATAATCTGACAGTTTTCATCTTAAAAAATAATACTTATATATATATTTAAAATTTTATCATGCTTGAATAATATGCACATTGAAATAACACTTCATAAATGATATATAGTGCTATTATTTTGCTATACAATAAACTTACCTGTCAATTTATCCTTATAATAATTTTGTTGCCGTTTAACAAACAATTCGTGTATTATATACTTCACTTATTTATGTTAGAACTGTAAAATCACCATACATTCACTTCACTTATAAACTTATTTAAAAATTCTTAAAGTTTTCACAATCCTCTTGGAACGAACAATCAATTTTCCCAACCAGTTATATTTCAAAAAGTTGTCTCCACTTCTATTAATTACGATTTTATTGCTTACGAATTCACATCTGGCCACATTTTGCAACGAGCATAAAATACGAGCATTCGGGATAACGACAAGTACGCTCGAAGACTGCGCTACCTTGCACGATACTAACGCACGTAGCATTACCAGGGTTGGAATTGATAGTGTGTGCGTGCTACAACCCTATTGGTGAACAGTGTGTATTCACGCTGACTTGTCGTTGTGTGTGTTTTCAGGCGGTAGTGTCCGTGATTTTGCGCTGTCGTGATACCCAAAATTGTAGATGTGGTTGTAACCGATCACCTACAGTTATGTTTGTGTGCGTTACCGGCACAACCGGGGAAAAACGGACCCACGAAATATTTGGGCGCATGCCCGAAACCTCTGAAAAATAAAATCGTGTTTGGTGCTATTTAAATACTGATGTGAGAGGACAGATTATAAATCCAGTGTGTTGCCGACAAAGGAGGTAATTTTCAGAATGGGGTTTTCATTAAATTCTATATGAATTCGTTTTAGGGAAAGTCTTGTTATTTACAAGTACCCATTTGTATTTGTTTTCGGATTGTGTATTTTTTTAAGTACGTTCTTTGATGTTTGTGACAGCGCGGCTTTTAAATTGTATGTCTATGTTCTTGTGTCTATCCATTATTTTTCTTATTTATTCGAGTTCAAGAATTCATTAAAATTTAAATATTTAAAGTAATCACTATTTTTCAACGCGCCGCGTGGAGGCAGTATTTTCAAGATATTGGCACCATTCCGCCACTGAATTTGCATTCTTATATTATGACCAAAGTAATTACTACCTCTTCGTAACCGTGACAAGGCGAGATGTCGTATATCGTATATATTAATAAATTAAGTTTTTATTTATTATTCAATGAAAGATCGCATTTTTTTAATAATTTGTGATGTGTTTGTGCGTGTGTACTATGTTTACTGTCATATTGTATGACATTGAACATAGTATCGTATAAATATAAACTCTATAAAGTATAATAATGGTGTGTTAGTTGTTCAAAGTCATTTATTTATTTGTATTTATTGTGCTTATAACCTATGTGATCTAGAACATTCACTCTTGCCATTGAACTTTTTATATTTCTAGCTGTAGATCATTGATGCAAAAGTCAATAAATTATTAGAAATAAAATATTCATTCAGTGTTTATAATATAAATATAAAATTAAAATGAAATATATTAAGTAAACAATTTTTTTCCTTATATATAGTACCAATATGACATGTTCTGGGTCAGTATACCGCTAGTTTTCAGTGGCACCAGTATGCAGCACCGTAAAAGAGAATCTTAATAACATTAACATCTGGTTCAACCGCATTATTACCATTATTATTTTTACTATTCATTACGTCAATTGATTATACCTTTGCTTAAAAATATATAAGTAAGTTTGTATAAATCTCAGTTTATTTAAATAAGAATAGAAGAAAATATAATATATTTTATGCTAAAAATGTCATCCCGTACTAACAGGGGTTGAATGCAAGGGGTCGTTGAGTGCTGGGTAAACATGCACGTTTTTGCTACCCGAGACATCCACAAACATTACTTGAGTGATTACACGAACCATACAGTTTCTCACAACATATATCTTGTATGACAATATTTATGGAGTATATTATCTATTTTTAAATAATAATAATATATATAAATTTTATTTATTGTGTAATATATAAATAAAACAAAGATGATTATACACTGGATTCCGCCTAAGTCAACTGCATCTCGGGAGTTCATAAAATAATTGGTAGATGTTATCAATTATTATAGATCAGCGAGAATAATATATCAGAACAATTCACACAGTGACATATAGTCCCACGCTAATCAGAACTTATGGTATCGGCATTAAACAAATGATATAAATACATAGATACGTTATTTTTGCAAATATATACATAATATACATATAAAACACCCAATAACAATACAATTAATCACACAATGTATTAATAGTTTATTAATTTAGTAATGGTTTAGCAAACCACTTTACTTCCGATGGTCCCAGGTTCGATTCCTCACACAGTGCAAACATTTGTATTCATGAGTATAATTGTTTATATCGGTATGGTTATGGTACACCCATACCGATATAAACTATATGGTATGTATTTACAAAAGAAAATCTAAGTTTTTATATCAGTTGTCTAGTACCAACAACATAAGCTCTGCTCATCGTGGGACTAAATGGCGCTCGCTGTGTTAATTATCCAGGGTTATCTATTATTATTATTATCATAATACGTATTCTTCATTTGAACCTAGATGCCGTTGAGTGATATATCCAAAGACATTTATTTATTTATATTGAATTCAAAAGAAGACATCTTCACAATAGAGGATCTCTGTACCTACATGTAGTCTTCTGGGAATTTCATGCAATTCGAATCTAGACTCTCGAAAATCTAATATTTTAAGAAATTGATACTTTAGAAGTCTGATAGGTATCATATTTTGATTCACTTCAATCTGTATAGTATTAACTTTGTTTACTTTGTAACTAGATGGCGCTATGTGATTACTAGTATTAGACAATACCTAAGTACTTATATAAAGATTTTTCTCAGTATATTACGTTATGTAGACCACAGAAAACCATGTCATTAATTAAATTCAAAATTCAAAAATCATTTATTTATGTAGGCCATTTTAGCCGCTTATGAACGTCAAATTTTTTATATTATAATATAATTTCCTTCCTTTATACATATATTATATATAGATGAAATAAGAAAAAACCGTTAAGAATTTGTGTTGATCTCCACTCGGTCCCCACTGGAAACCGTCATTCTTTTGAAACTTTGCTTTAATGAAAGACTTTTTCGAAAACCAATTTATAAAGCTTATGCCATGGCTTTACTTCATCCTCGGCCTATCATCTTCCAATATTGCACTGCCACCGTTTACTGTCAGCGCTGACTGCATCAATTTATATTGCTACATTAAAAACCCCAAATAAAAGGGTAAATAACTCAATTAGTCATTCATCTTAAAATATAAACCTACTCTAAAAAATCTGCGTAGGGTATTCAAACATTTAGGATATCTAATCATATAGGTTATTTAGGATAATACCGGAAGGAGGTAGAAATAAAAAAAAGGTATTGATTTTTATTTTGTATAATTATAATTATAATCAAGCAGAAAGCCCACCTGATGGTATGTCGTAAACTTCATCCTGTGTAATAATAATAATAATCATACAGAACCAGCAATGCTAGGAAAATAAGACAACAGTGAAAATAATAATAATACTCTCAGGACAATTCACACAGCGCCCTCTAGACCCAAGTTAAGCTAACTTAAGCTTGTGTTATAGGTACTAGACCATTGGAAGAAAGGCGATATGCTAAACCACTAGACTACCGAGGCTGTCGAATATCTGAACAGCATTCGTTACCATTCTAGAGGACTTATTAAGCGGAATTACAGGATAAGAAGTATTCTTATCCTGTAATTCCGCTTAATTTACTCATTGATCAACCTTTATGACTTCCTGCGGACTCATTGTTGTAGCGTAAATATGAAACTTTTTCAATCACGCCCATAGACGTTTACAGGGAAATCGATGCTTGATCCCTAAAAAGTCCATTTAAGTTTAATAGGTATATGATACAGGTTGTTCCGAGCCGTTGCCAAACCTCAAGTGGTATTTGAAGACAAAAACCTCTCGAAAGTTCGAGCCGTGTTGTATGGTGTAATTTTAAAGCAGTAAGCGTGGGTTGTGATCTAGAGGTTTACTACCCATTTACACCGAAATATTATGAGTTGAAATCTAGCCAATATTAATAAAATGTGTGGCAATTTATATAGTTGACCGATACTCCGGTTATAGAAACACAGTCAACAAACCAAAATAATCTGAGAGATGGCAATAGGCTCGCCCCATAAAAAATCGCTGATTGCTCTAGGTAGGTGGGAATAAAATGACGTAGGGTGTATGTTCGTATTAAAATTCAATAAAATTTCAAGCAGGCCATTTATATCGGTTTAAAAATAGAGATTATCATTTCAATTTTTTCTATTCATTTCATTAAAAGAATTTTAAATTCAAATTTAAAAATATTTATTCCGGTAGGACATTTGAGCCACTTATGAACGTAATTTTTTTATATTATAATTTTTACCCTACCTTCCAGTTCAGTATATGGATCCAATTGAGAAGAACTGGCAAGATTCTCAATTGAATTACTTTTTTTTAAAAGCCACTTTATTTACAATGTATATTTACCGTAATTTTAATTAATAAACAAAATAATTTTAGTATCGTTATATTATCGTAGTATTTTGTGGGAATAAAATATAAAAATAAAGCGTTATGTTTTTCGCTTTATCTTAACACTCAAGACAGTGCCAAAGCAATCTGAATTGTAGAAGTTAACAAGAGATCTCCACCAATCTTCAACGGCTATTGTTTGACACGAGGCGCCCAATCTACATTTTAAAATAATGTCCCTAATAATTCAATCTCCGGCATTAAATTACACTTAAAAGTTTATTTGACGGTATTTGAATAAACTCTATTAGAGAGGGAGACTTTGAACAAAGTTTTGGTATACTATCCGTCAATTTATATTTCTAACTAAATCTCCGAAACAACGAAAATAAGCCACACAATTAGTCCAAGAGACGGCGGCCGGTTGGTCCCCTGCCCCGTATAATATAGCTTGGAATTAGGATGGACTCCAGATTAGACATACAGAATAAAAACATATATTCTTCCGTATGGTTATAGCATTTAGACTACTCTAAAAGATCGAGAGATTAAACCGACACTACAAAATCTTATTAATATTATAAATGCGAAAGTTTGTGAGTATGGATGAATGTTTGTTACTCTTTCACGCAGAAACTACTGAACGGATTTTGTGAAACTTTACAGTAATGTAGCTTATTCATCAGAATAACATTAAGCTATAATTTAAATAGATATTATGTAAATTAGGCGAAATATAATTATAAATGTCAAATAAGTTTGTTGCAGATGGAATTGTGAGGGTCAGCAAGTAGACTATAAATTTAACAATTTAATAAAAAATAAAACACTTTGTGTATCAATTAATATTCCTAATTAATTCTC